GTGGTTTTGATAATAACAACTTTATAGCTTAACGCAAACCTAATTCTTTTGTATCCAGAACTCGGCTCTCCGAGAACCGGACATTCTGACTGCATTACATCATATTCACACATAAGATCCAGACACCATCCTTTAGTTCGCATCCACTCACAGGAAATAATAGCTTACACAATTTGTCGTCTTAACTGTTTGTAAAATAAGTTCTTATTTTATAAATGTGACTATTTCTTGAATCAAAACGAAGTGCGTACGATCCCTTAGACCAGGCAAGGTGATGTTCTATATTTAAATAGAGGATCACAGCTTATTGGTCACAAGTGGTGTTAATAATACAAATGGCTCTTCAAGCAATTTACACAACCCAACATACTATTTATTAACATGACATGTTTATATGGAACATCACATCTTACTGGTCATTTATACACGAGGTAAGAGCTGCACCTCCAGGATCTGGATGTAGATGTTATGCATCAGAATAATATGCTCTGTTATGTTATGCATCTATGTAAATATGTAAATAAGAATGTGTATATATATGCTTTTATTTTGAAAAGCAACTGTAGAGGAAGTTTTACTTTGACCTCGTGGAATGACCAATAAAAAGGGAGCATTGGTGTTTGTAGGAGTAAGGTCTAGCTGCAGACGCAGCCCCGGCCAAACACGCCTCCATGTACAAAACACGCGTGCACGAGAACTCGCATGCGTGTTGCAACAGATGGAAATGACGGTTCAGGTAAAGACAGATTTATATTTTTACAACTTGTGAAGATTTTGTACATAAATTTAAACGTTTAAGACATAGTTTGATAGATAGCGCATTAGTGATTTTTTCCTGAAACACTTTTATATAAAATTAAGCATTATTGGCAGTGGGGGAAGACGTCATGGACGCAAAATATTTTTAATGTAATTTTTAATGGGCTACATGCAAGCCTTTTGGCCAAAATAAACGTAACAATAGGCTATTTATTTGACCGTTTATGACTCCTCATCTAATAAGCAGCAAACTCACGACGGCAATGTGGTAGCCCTAAAATTGTCGCGCTCAGACGTGTAAAATTTGTTAAAACATGTAACAGAAAATTCCCTTAAAATTCATTCAGATATATTTTCACATGTCAACATTTACATGTATTATAGTTTTTTTGACAAATAGTTGCGTGTATAGCATCCAGGAAATATTAGTCTGACGGTAACGTGGTGTCCACGATAAAAATGGTCTTGGAAGGACAGGTACAAATAAATTGTAACCTAACTTTTCCCTAAAGTTAATTCAGATTTATTTGTACATGCCCACAGTTACATGTGTAGTTCAACAGAAAACATCCCAGCAAATATTGGTCAGACACGACGTCCCGTCCATTGCCAGAAGCTGTCGCCATGGAACGGGGGCGTGTTTGGCCGGGGGCGTGTTTGGCCGGGGGCGTGTTTGGCCAGGGCTGCGTCTGCAGCTAGGTGTGATTGGTTTGTAGAGTGTAATCGGTGTGTGCTACCACCAGTGAAGGCCCGTTGAAACAGACGCTCTGTTTATGGATTTATTTCCTCCTTTTTAATCCTGGAGATTCGTTTGGGAGTCTTGGACCAACCGCTGGGTAAATCAAACTCTGCTAACAGCAGAATTCCCAGTTAGGATGCAGAATGCTCCAGTTTGTTGGAATGACACCAGCGGTGGACTTTTATTCATCGTTGAAGTCTGCAAATGCAGGAAACCAGCGTCTTTCTCTTAGCTCGGATTTGCTTCTGGTTTCCTTTTCTTTCTCTCTTCGTTCGACATTTTTTATCCAGGAGATCTGAGCACCAGCGAGAGTCATCATACACACCTTGCACAGGAAACACCATCAGGTAAGGATCTGGAACAACAGAACCAGTGTGTGCCCTCACAAAGGTGTTACCTCAAGCAGCAGCAGGCCCGCAGTCAGACCGGCCACCAGCAGCAGGTTGTTCTTGGCCCACCAGATGATTTTATCAAAGCAGCCGATGGTGAAGATGCTTTTTCTGGCTGCATCCTTCTCCCTCTGCTGCATCCCATAACCACACATAGTGTTGAGGACAGTCTGCAGAGAGAAGCGGACACCTGTCAACACCACCAGGACACCTGGTATGGACCTGGGCTCACTGGCTGACTGGGTTTTTGATGGCTTTAGGGGTGAGGAGAAGGATTTTGAATTTAACGGTTTATTGCACAGGAAGCCAGTGGAGCTGCTGGAGGAGAGGGCTGATACAGCGACTTGTTGGGGTTTTGGAAACGATGCGTGCAACTGAGTCCTTTGTACCCCTCCCTGGGCTGCCACCTTACTGTGGTGGAGGGGTTTGAGTGTCCCAATGATCCTAGGAGCTAAGTTGTCTGACCCCGGCTTTCCACGGGAGCCGTCAGCAGCACGTTACTGCAGCAGCACGTCATAGCTGCTGATGGGAACCGCTGTGGTCAACAGAACCTTTTCCACTAGAGCCGTCGGCAGCCGTCAGCAGCGCGAGTCGGCCGCGTCTCAGGAGCAGCATGTCGCGGCCTTTACGCGCCGGTTCTATTTTCTACGCGCGACGCCTCTGAAACGGGTCAAGTTCGACATTTTTGGGGAAGGAAAGACAGGAAATTGGATGCGGAAATGGAGAGAAGCTCCCGAGATTTTCAGAATAAAGAACGTACTGCCTTCCGGTTGCTTTACTTTTAAAAACAGTTACTAAATGTGCGTCCCCGTGAGAAGTTATCACCTAGCTAGCGGTCTCCGTTGTTTTTCAGGTCCGTATTGGCGATTATAAAACGGACAGAACATAAAACACAAACCATGTTGTAGTTTTCTCCTGCTTGTTGTTGTGTTTACTGACGAAGTCACTCGTGTGACTTCGAGCTCGGTCGGTGACAGCTGCTCCCCTGCTGCTTCGCGTCTCGTGGGAAGGGCCAAGCAGCAGCTTACGCGAGCAAGACGTGCTGCTGCAGTAACATGCTGCTGCAGTAACGTGCTGCTGCAGTAACGTGCTGCTGCAGTAACGTGCTGCTGCAGTAACGTGCTGCTGACGGCTGCGGTGGAGAGCCGGGGTGAGGCTTTATGCCTCTGGTAGGGTCCCCCATGGCAAACATGTACTAGGTGAGGGACCAGACCAAGAGCAGCCCGAAGACTTCTTATGAAGAAAAACATGCAAACCGTGTTCCCTCGCTCAGAGGCGGGTCACTTGGGCCCCCCTCTGGAGGCGGGGCACGTTGGTGAGCACCTGGTGGCCGGGCTTTTACCCATGGAGCCCGGCCGGGCACAGCCTGAAGAAGACATGTGGGTCACCATTCCCATGGGCTCACCACTCGTGGGAGGGGCCAAAGGGGTCGGGTGAAGTGTGTGTCGGGTGGTAGCCGAGGGCGGGGACCTTGGCATTCTGATCCTCGGCTACAGAATTTGGCTCTCCGTACATGGAATGCCCCCTCCCCGGTCTGGTGGGGGAGGAGCCTGAGTTGGTGTGTGAGGTTGAAAGGTTCCGACTTGACTTATTATTTCATGACTTATTTCAGATCTGAAACACTAAATCTGAAATAAGTCATGAAATAACAAACATTTATGTTGATTAATTATCTAATTATTAAATGACTTTAGATAGAACAGTCATTGTAGATAACACAGAACATGACTGCAAGCCTGTGGATTGAAATAAATCATTTATGAGACCAAATTAGGAAAACTTAAGTAAAATCTCGTCTTCTGCGTGGACCTTGGAACTTCCAGCTCCTTGTAAACATGGGAGATTATTTAGACCTAGTCTCTAACGGTGCCGCTAGGCAATTTAAGCATGGAATTGTTTTGGTACAGGGAAGAACAACATTCCTAGTAAAAGGAAGCTGATGGGCACTTTCTGCCTGTCTGCCTCTGACATCGCTGTGGACAAATAACTCTGTTGGACTTTCCCAGCGCTACACCTGTCACCGATTCTGTTCATAACCTTTATGGACAGGATTTCTAGGCCCAGCCAAGGTGTAGAGGGCATCCGTCTTGGTGGCCTGAGGATCAGGTCTCTGCTTTTTGCAGATGATGTGGTCCTGCTGGCTTCATCAGAACGTGATCTTCAGCTTTCACCGGAGCGGTCCGCAGCCGAGTGTGAAGCAGCTGGGATGAGAATCAGCTCCTCTAAATCTGAGACCATGGTCTTGATACAGAAAAGGGAAGAATGCCTTCTCCGGGTCAGGGATGAGGTCCTGCCCCAAGTGGAGGAGTTTAAGTATCTCGGGGTCTTGTTCACGAGTGAGGGAAAGCTGGAGCGTGAGATCGATAGGTGGATTGGTGCTGCATCTGCAGTGATGCGGGCGTTGTACCGGTCTGTCGTGGTGAAGAGAGAGCTGAGTCAGAAGCTCTCGATTTACCGGTTGAGAAGAGGATAAAAAGGATGGCTCATGTGTTGCTAAATTATTCCACTGAAACATCTGGCTGATTCTCCGTAGGACGTCATTTAGCACGAGCTGTGAGATCTGGCTGAACTGGGAAAGAATGAAGTGAGTTCACTTTTAAATGAAATAGTTGTTTATAAAGTTTGAGACATTTGAATCGGTTTAACCAAGAGTACCCAAACACTCCTCACTCTGAGCTTATTTCACTTAATACACGGAGTAAATCTGTTAAACATTCATTTGTTATTATACTGATATTATCATGTGGATGTAGCTGATAATTAATCATGATTAAATCTCTTTAGATAGAACAGTCATTACCGTAGATAACCGAATATGACTGTAAACCTGTAGGTTGAACAAAATAATATTATAAGGAGTAAAAGTCTCGTCTTCTGCGTGGACCTTGGAGGTGCAGCAGGATAAGGGAGTCAGGTGGAGGAACCTTCTGGATGGTGCTGCTAGGGATGGTTCTGGTACAGGGAGCAACACAACAGTCCTAGCAGAGGAAGCTGCTGGGCATCCGACTGCCTGTTTGACCTCTGACATCCCTGTGGACAAATAACTTAGTTGCTCTTTACCAACGTTACATTTGGGCAGCAGCAGCTCAACAGGTGGAGCGGGTTGTCCAGTA